AGATGTGTTTTCATTGGCTAGGCAAGTGATAACCTCATAAAAGTAAATATTTTTTGAATCGCCACAGGCAGGGTGATTCCGGAGACAAATACTCCTCATTCCACCTTTTGATGAGCATACTAGCTCTGCCTTCTTTCTTTGAGGAATCAAGAGGGAAGGATTAGGTAGAAGGAAAGAAGAACATATAGAGGAGGAAAAGGTAGTTTGGAGCAAGCTGGCGATGCGGAAATGGGGAGGGAACAATGACACATGGTTGCGTGATACGAATCTGTCCCTGATTTCTTCCTTCCCAACCCTGACGGTTCTGGGCTCTTCTCCATTAGCCCTTCACCACAGCTACCAAGTGTCTGTCCTGGCTCTGCCTACTCTGTCCATCCTGAACCCTGTTGCCTAATGAATCTTCTGAAATCAACACTTCTCCCATTTTAGCGATTGACAGCTGTATTCAGAACTCATGATTGCTTGGGCTCAGCAAGCTCTTCTAGCCTTTGCCCTCCTACCAGCCATTCATCTATTAAGCAAACATTTTGTGAAATGCACAATGTGAGCTTCCTGGTCTAAGTAGACCACTCTGCTCTCCGTATGTTCTTAACTCTTCTCTTCGATATTCCTTGTCCACTCTTTACCTCCATAGCCCCCTACCCAGTATCTTTTTCTAATCTATCATCCTCACACCCATAAGACTTCAGGGCATTTTATTCTTTTTTTAACATTCTCCACATTTGCTAGAGTAGATCCTCACACCTAACAAACTCTCGAAAAGCGTGTGTTAATTAAATGGCTTGCTAATTAAAGAAATGAGCAATTATACAATGAACTGCTTGGTGAAATACAGGTTCTTGAAGCAGTAGGGAAGAAAACTAGTAAGCTTAACATTTTTTAAAAAGCCACCTCATTGCTCCTAATTACCCGTTGTTTGAAACACTCTTCTTTTTATCCAAAGTCTGTGTTGACTGTCTCCCTCTGGGTGGGGACCATCCCAGTCAAATGATGGATACATTTGTAGATTCTGTCTCTTTCTACTCTTTTCACACATTTTAGACAGTCAAAAATAAGATCAGATCCGTTTTAAAGGACAGGTGTATTTATCAAAGGCAAAATTAGCCTTAGTCATTAAAATACGTTCATCTTCTATGATGATCATCTCTTTTAAGGAGCATCAGGTGTGGAACTTCTGCCATGAACTGGACTTTGGGCGAAGTGTTCTGGGATGTGAGTCCAGTTATCAAAGAGGAGGTTCAAGGGTAGAGGTGACCGAGACGCTCAGATGCAAGTTAAAAGAGGCAGCAAGAGATGCAGTAAAACCCTGGAGACTGGAAAAGTCAGGCAAGATGGATAGGAGGCTTGAGTTAGGCCAGAAAGGACCAGGAAGTTTTCTGCAGTATGCAAATGAGCAAAAGACAAGGCAAAGATGGAGGGAAGGGAGTCACGCCTCCCGGCTGCATTTAGAATTTCGAGATAGGATTATCTCACAGTAGAGCAAGACGCTGAAGCAGCTGTGAAAAAGTGTGTGTTCTGTGCCTCTGGACTGGAGGACACTGCAATGGCCCCTACGATCATTATCCCTTAAAACGATCATTGAACTAACCAAGGTGCCCTGTTTCCTAATCTTCCCAAGTACACAGGTATTTGCCATCATTACCTCAGGACAATCATAAAGCGCTGCAATTGCTTTACAGATGCCCTTAAATGAATTCACCCAAACTCTCAGCGAAGTAGGTGGCAAACAGCCCACCTGCTGGATAGGACGCTGTCACAGACAAATGAAGCTATCTGTCTTGGAGACTGCTCTGGTCCCAGGAGATTGGTAGAACATTCCCTTAATGTGGCAGTTAACATTTCTTTCACTGCACCCAAATCCCTGGGTGCTGGCGATCCCCTCCAGGGCAATGTGTTAGTAAACTCTGAGTCCCCAATGCCTCACCCCGGGGCAGGGGATTGGCAAACATGAGGCTCAATTAACGTTTGCAGAATTAACGAATTCCTTTGCTGGGAAGCTGCTTGTCCTTCTCTGTTCTTTGTTTTATCTTTCACTGGGCTGTTGAGCAAGTAATGTCTAAAAAAAATTTGCAAATTCAAGTAGTACAGAACCCTCTAAGACTTCTCCCTAGAAACGGAATTGGGCGTTTGGAGAGTGGAAGAAAATGAGTTCGCATCATTTTGGAGGTTCATCAAACTGGAATAAAGCTGGTAGACAATGACCGTTGGGTGTGTGGCCTGGACATAGCCATCATTTCAATACTGATCTTTGGAGTTTTTTGTCTGAAACAAATGAAAGAAGAGAAAAAAAAAATAGAAATGAGAAAAAATGATTCCATTGATCAATTTTAGGTGTTTTTGCTTTATCTTCAACCCTGTTGGTTTATTTTTCCTATTTGTCTAACTTTCTATTTTGACTCCTTGGCAGAATTTAAACAAATAAACAAAACATACATGAGAATATATCTGACTTAAAGCAATACCAAAATATTATATGAGCCTCCGGAACCACGAGATGGGACAAGTTTGTACTTCATCAATATAAATGTCACACCACTACCTTTTTGTGTCTTGATGTCAGAGTTGTATTTACAAATTGATCTCTTATCTATTTGGCTGATAGACCTTGCAGACATTTGGGACTTATTTTACTCATGTACACATCATCCTCTGATTTGACTAGTCATTGTTAAATGCAACGTTACGTTGAATGAAGTTAAATTTAAAACCAATACCATTTTAAGCCAAGTCAGTTTCAGTCAGCCTTGAGACCGTGTAAATTTCCAATGGCACGAAGACCTCAGGAAGTCTATGGCCAATTTTTCCGAGTGAGACAAAAGCCACTAAGATTCCACAAACAGGTTCCAGATAACCCTTTATGTCATAAACCACTGTAGTTCTTGCCTCTAAAATCCTCCAGCTCTTATGACTGTCTTAAAAATCTGGATCATTCCTAAATCTGAGACACACGAATGAGGTTGAGACTTATCCATTGACCATCATCATCTTTCTTCCTTAAATCCTTTTTTTTTTTGTACTATCTGTTTTGCCCAGTTATAGGAAGATTATAAATTTTCCATTTGCAACTCCATGCAAAGATATCTCTGATTTAAATTCTTCTGTCTTAATCTGTTTGGCATCCTTAACCCACCTGAGCTACCTCACTGTGATCATTATTGCGTTTCTATATTTATTAGGCACTTGCTTTGTGTAATAAAAATCAGTCTCTGCTTGTAAAATTGAAACATGAACAAGTCCTGACGTAGGACCAAAGCAGGATTAATAATGATCTGTCATATAATATTCAGCCACAGTAATAGCCACTCCAAACAAAACTTTCCCATCGACATTTCCTCGTGGAGCCCAGAAGCCGTGTCAGTCCTTTTCTGCCTTCTCTACTGACCTTTCGGGAAATTTCCTTCCACTGATGAAATTGTCATTCTGTCACCGCAAAAGACAACAGAGTAATGCAAAATGATGATTGGCAAAAGCAAGGGCTCAGGCTGGCCTGTCTGTGGCAGTTTCAGCACGTTATTCTTTCTAATTTAAGGAGAAGCTGGCGTTGCTTAAGATACTGTAGTTCCCTTAGCACATTTCAAAACTGTCTGGCTAGACATTCAAAAGAACTGAAAATAGTAAATTTAGAGTTTTAAAATATTATAGTTCATTGATTCCTTTTTTAAAAGCAGCATAAAAAAGCACTACACCCTTAAAGCCCTATGTTTGTCATTGCTTTTAACTGGGTATTGATTTTTTTTTTTTTCTTAAGCCAGTTTAGCATGGCCAAGCGTGTTCCTTTCAGAGTTCTTCGGGATCATCTGTCTGCTCAGGGGACCTCTGAGGGTCACCCCTTGTGCCAGTGGTGGGGGGTGGGCACCCCATTCCATAGACAGGCTTTCAAATTATGAGAAGACTTTCCCTCATTTTAAATCAGTAGTTACTTTCCTCTAATGCTATGGGTTTGTCTTTACTTGTCAGCTTTTCCAATTCTCCTCTTGCCTCTTCACACTTTTCTTGCCCCTTGAAGCCAGAAACACCCTGATCTTTACTGGATCATCCTGAAGCTAACCATTTAAAAAATATATATATTTCTTCTCAAGGTTCCATTTGATGCCATTAGATAAGACCTACGATTATAATAACCACAGTACCTGACAATAGGCATTCAATACACATTAATTATATTTTTGTTTTTAAAATATCAATATGGTGCACAGGAAAGCACAGAGGCAAATCAGTGGACCTAGACTCCATTGCAGTTCAAGTATTAATTTGTTCTTGAATCTTGGGCTATATTTTCACCTTTCTCAGCCTCAGTGTTCTCAACTATAAAAAAAAAAAAAAGAAGTAATGATAAAGCCCATCTTACGAAATTGTGCTGAGGATTATATATGTTAGTATCGTGAAGTATCTATCACAGTTCCCAGTACATAGTAGCTCCTCAATAAATATTGCTCTCCACACACAGAAAATCTTCCCCCAACCCTACCTACCTTATAATCCGGAATAGCAGTGTCAACAGAAAAGACTAAGGACCTTTGGCTTCCAGCTTTGCCTTGTTTAGGCCCACACCCTTGGGTAAACCACTCCCTCTCCTTGCATATTTCCCTATCACATAGTCCCACATCTGCCACAAATAAAATATCGGTTGGGGAATAACTTTCAAAAACCTTGGTGTGTTTTCTTATTGTAAAGTATTATTTCCAGCAGCAATTTATCAGTGAATAAATGAATGTGCTGAAATGAATGAGTTACCTATTGCCCCCATCACGTCCCTCCCCACACCAGAGCAGGGAGGAGAAACTCAACAAAGGGTGCTGAAAACCCAGTCCACTCGTGTCTATGAAAATACGCACATATGGGAACATTAGTCTGATAGGTGTAAATGCAGGCAACCACTCTCACACGAACATTTGGCAGAAGAGCCCCTTGACTCAGTGCTGATACAAACACCATGGAGGTTCAGAATCCCAGAGCTGTCGTTGTCAAAGACTCACGCTCTTCCTTCTCATTTCTTCCAGGAATTTCTATTACATCACCATGTTACGGGATCCAGTGTCACGCTACCTGAGCGAGTGGAAACATGTCCAGAGAGGGGCCACGTGGAAAACCTCCCTCCACATGTGTGATGGGAGAAGCCCCACCCCCGACGAGCTGCCCACCTGCTACCCTGGGGACGACTGGTCTGGGGTCAGCTTGCGGGAGTTCATGGACTGCTCCTACAACCTGGCCAACAACCGCCAGGTGCGCATGCTGGCTGACCTCAGCCTGGTGGGCTGCTACAACTTGACTTTCATGAATGAGAGCGAGAGAAACACCATCCTGCTGCAGAGCGCAAAGAACAACCTGAAGAACATGGCCTTCTTTGGGCTCACGGAATTCCAGAGGAAGACACAGTTTCTCTTTGAGAGGACATTCAACCTCAAGTTTATCTCCCCTTTCACGCAGTTCAACATCACGCGGGCTTCCAATGTGGACATCAATGAGGGCGCTCGCCAGCGCATCGAGGAGCTCAACTTCCTGGACATGCAGCTTTACGAGTACGCGAAAGACCTCTTCCAGCAACGTTACCATCACACCAAGCAGCTAGAGCACCAGAGGGACCGGCAGAGGAGGCGGGAGGAGCGCAGGCTGCAGCGGGAGCATAGGGGTCACCGGTGGCCCAAAGAGGACGGGAACACAGAGGGGGCGGTCACTGAGGACTACAACAGCCAGGTGGTGAGATGGTGACCCCCTGCCCTCTCCTTCCTCGGGAGGGGGAGGATGAGCAGGCACACTGAACTTCTGTGGCGTTGGTGACCTTGGAGGTTGGTGGGTATCTGAGGACATCTGGCTATATGTGGCTTGATTTGGACACCTGCTTCCTCTTTGTCTTCATCCTTATCCAGCTGGAGATGATCTGTTGTCTTCTTTTTTTTCCCTCCTCCTGATATTTTTCAATCCTTGATATCAAGTAGGGCAGGAATGCATCCAATAGAGACGTCCTTAGGAGGTCAAGGAGAGAAGCACCAGAAAGGAAACAGTTCTCGAAGAGCTCCTTTGCAGCATCTTGGGAACCTCACAGAGACACACATGAAAAGCCAAATTATAGGCTTGGATGTTCTGCTGAAACTGGTCTGTTTCACACTGTCTTTGTAATGGAAATATTGGCCTGTCCAGAGAAAGGAAGAAAGAAAGAAGTCCCTCCCTTGGCTCTTGGCTCTCATCTTGAACCCTGTTTGAATGTGGCTTAATCATAAGTAGCAGTGTTTCGTGGTTGCGATTGTTTTTAAACAAGATTACCTTACTACTGATCATCACTAAAGACTCACACCCCACAAAGTCCTTGCATCTTAGCTGGGAGCCATGCTTCCTCCCCGACCTTTTAGGGAAAAGCTAGTGGAATCAGGACAGGTGTGCTTGGCCCCTGAGAAATGAACAGTGGTAGGGGTAGTTAGGAGAAAATGTGCTTATTAATTAAGACCTAAGGAGATCACACTTTACTGATTTTCTTTGCATTCAAAAGAATTAACTAATAAATTAAGGAGGGAAGCCAGAGGATGACTGTATGATGTCTCACACTTCCATATGGGCTACAAAACTTTTAGGTTTTTTTCAGGGATATTTCTGTTTGACCTCTTCGGAGCAGTCATCCTCTTCGATATGGTACTGCCAAGTTTGATGTTCTGTTAAAAGAGTCTTGCCCGAAGATTAGGAGTTGAGCTGGCCTGTATGCAAACGGTATGCAAGTTCACTAAATACATGATAACTGATTCAGGCCAGGAGATGCAGAACTCAATGGGCCGGTTGTCCCAGGAGCCTAGACAGACGTTACCTCCCAGGATCCTTCATAATTCCAGCCTGATCACTTTATTTTCCCCACGTGATCTTTGCCTGTGGTTCGGCTGTGGCTCTATTTGGCAGCTCGGACTGGAGTGGATAAAGCAGGATGGGAAATTGGGCCTCATTACCCACTACTTCTTCTTTTCCATTTTTCCCAGTCACCAGTAAAAGAACACAAAGTCTGTCGAGTACTCAGGGGAGAAGTATGGAAAAGGGAAAAGAAAGGCCTCGCCTGGCATTCCGTAGTAGGATCAGAGTGGGTAGAAAGTTTCATAACATTGATCTGATCAGTCCTTTCAAGGAGCTGAAGGCAAAATGAGTGAAACCCCTAAAACAGATTGAAAAGCCTATTTCATTGATATCTAGCGTGTTTGATGTTTAAGCCAGCTTTGCATAAGCCACATCGCAGCCTCTGGAGTACTCTCACTGGGGTGGAGAGTCGATCAACCCACACGCATTCATGGAGGGCCTGCTTGCCGAGAGAGGAGCCCGGGGTCTCCATCAGAGAGAGATTTGGAGAAGTGGCTTTGATTCTTCTCTCATGACCCTTGGCTTCATCTGTCATGTGAGGGAAGACATTATTGGGGACCTCCCTTGTGTCACTTACTGAGGGAGCCCTATTCATACCTTCAATCCATTCACAACAAGGTAGATATTATTAGGCCTAATTACATAGATAAGAAAAGTAAACCCCACAGAGACCAGGCAGCTTCCTGGTGGATGGTAGGCTAAGTCTGGCCGACTGCAGAGCGCAAGTTCTTTTGATTCCATCATGTTTTCCATATGGGACAAAAGCTTCCTGCCAACAGTGCAAGAAGCCAGCCATTAGAGCCCAGAAGGATTTGTCGCTAACCCATGCGCAGAGCACAACTGTGACGGTCCCGCACTCGCAGTGGACCCAGAGCCATGCTGCCTTGGGTGAGTCCAGCCCTCTCCACCTCCCTGACCCACCAACAAGCTGAGAGATTGATGATTTTATAGGCACTTGTACTTTTTGACACCTCTCTGTGAAAGGGACTGAGTCAATATTGCTTGTTAGTCGATAGAAATTAGACTCACGGAAGATTCGTGTCTCCCTTACCCCTGATTTGTTCCTGAGGTTGAGAGGGAAGAGGTTTACAGCTACAATTAATGAGCAGCCCTCGCTCTCTCTCTTTGCGTTCCAATGTTAAGATCTCATGTTCTGCCTAGAATGGCAGAGCTACAAATTATCCTTCAGCCTGCCGCTGTCACACACTCACACACACACACACACACACACACACACACACGTGCGTGCACACATAATAACAATCCAGTGTTTTGTCATGTGGAAAATCAAAACAAGTTAGAAAGCATGCGGATTGTTTCTTTTAAAGTCACTTTAAATTTTTTGGCAGGGAATTCATGCATCACTGAGACTTGGAGACGGCCTCTGCTAACTTCACACTGTTCCTCAGGCATGTCGGGATTTGTATCAAAAGGCTTTCCTCGGCCCGCACCGAAGGCACGATGTATGGTGCTGCACTTGAGACCAGATATCAGGATGTTCACAGGAGAAACCATCTCTTTGTGTTGGCGCAAGGCCAGTGCTGAGCAAATTAAAAAGACCGACAGGGGCTTCCTCCCTCATAACATTTCATTCTAAAGCAGCACGCTTGTCATATCCCTGGGGTCCTATGTTGATTGAAGTGAAGAGGTAGGGATACAGTTTGTTCTTCCAAAATAGACTGCACATCTGCGTGCTGAGTGACACTCAGAGAAGGGTTGCCAAGAGAAGAAATCTGGGCCTTGGGATCCACGGGGAGTCAGCAGCTTTGCGATCTAAAACCCAATCAATTCCAGATACATTGATATTAAGAGCCCGAGAGGAGGGAGAAAAATTTCCCCAGGGATTTCCATATCCTACTGACTCCTACAACTACCAGATAGGCATTCCTTCCCTTTTCTTGACAAGGGAAGCCCCAGATTGGGATGGGGTGACCTTGTGTACATGTTTGTGGGTGTGTTTAAGTTATCATCATGGACTGAGGTACATACTCTCTCTTCTGTCTCCTTCTAACTTTTTGGCAGCCTACTCTTGGAAATCAGAGAAAGCCTACCCTGAGAATTCTTTGGATATGCCTTCTAATAACTAATAACATTAGCAATCAGTATTGGGCAACAGCTATTGATATCATGTGTGCTATGCATTTCTTATCATCTCAAGGAGGGAACTGTTTCATAGTTTAATCAAGGGTTTGAAATATGAGGACTTGTTCAAAAGTCTGAGTAGAAATAGTATTTACATGGGGAGGAAAGTCTACCAGAGGGAGACCTGGCAAGAAGGCAAGCATAGATCGTTTAAAAAAAAAAAAAAATTAAATCCATAGGATAGGATTCCCATTTGGCTGCTTTAAGAGAAAACTCAAAATAATAGTGATTTCAATGAGATCAAAGCTGTTGTCCTCTTATTTAAAAGGCAAACTGGTTAGATAGCTCTGGTGAGTGACATTAAAGAACCCCAGTGCCCCTCCTGTTGCTCATTCATACTAACATGTGCATGCCATCCTCATGGTCCAAAGTGACTGCTGAGGCTCCTGCCATCTCATTTGTATTTCAGACAGCAGAGTGGACATGGAACGAAGTTGCAGATATCACTTCCACTCACATTTCATGGGCTAGAACCTAGTCATTAGCTACAAGTAAATGCAAAGGAGGCCAGGAAATGTCCTTATTATTGGTTGCCATGTGCCTTGATAAACAGGGAGGGAGGGTTCTATTATTAAAGAAACAATGTGAAAATTAATACTGGTAAAACTATCAACCTCTGACACAAAAGGGAATTGAAAACTATGTCAAGTGCTTTTCACATTTACCTATTTCATCATACGTTTTGCAAAGATTAAAATTCATAACTTTGTATAGTACTTAATGCTTTCAAAACATTTGTACATTTAGTATCCTATTGGATCTTCAACACTCTCTCATATGGTAGATATGTAGGGCCTCTATTCATGATCCCATCTGGTAGTTTCCAGTGGAGATTCAGGGATGTTAAAAGATTTCTCAATTCGAGTTTATCAATAAGACAGTTGCTCGGAGCCCCAGTCTTGACTTTATAGCCTTCCCGATGACTTTATGCTGCTCAGCATCCATATCAGGACTGGGAACTGCAAGAATATGAAATCTCGGCCTTTATCGACTTATGTTTTTCCTTACCTTCTTGTAGAACTACAGTGACTTAGAAGATGCCAAGGAGATTGGTAGAGTTGGCTCACTGCCTCCAGGGAGGGATCATCTCATTAGGAGTGAAATGTCCAAGAGACGGGCAGTGTTTCAGGGGAGACTGAGAAGCACAGACATTCAAACAACTCACGCTGGCTGTTCAACCCAGCCAGTCCCAAAACCGATTCAAGAGAAGGCTGAGGAAATGTGCTCGCAGCTCCTTAGGGAAACTCAGTGTCAGAAATATCTCGAATCGGTAACAGCCTGAACAGCAAGAGGTAAGGCATGATCAGTAGAACCCCTGCTCAAAAAAAAACCCACCAAAAAACCTCCCTTCCTCCCTACTTCTTCCCCAGGTCTCTGGAATTTTATCAGCAACTTACTGCTTTGGTTCTTAAAGGTTTTATTTGGTGTTAAATGAGTCCATTTGCAGCCTGCCCTGTTGCTGGAGAGAGGAAATGCAGCCGTTGCTGTCATAGGCTACCATCTTCACACAGAGTTTATCGGATTCCTCTCCCACCGTGGCCTCTAGCTGAGAAGAAAGTCCTGTATAATGGGATCACACAGGGGTGGGAGTTAGGGAGAGTAGGGATAATTAGAGAGGAAAGCAAGGCTCTTAAAAGGGAAGCAGGTCTTTCAAAGGTGGAAAGATGAATTTAACATGTGCCAGGAAATCTTGAAAAATAGAGAAACGACATACAGTTTCTGTCCTCAAGAACAAGGGCAGGCTGGAGGCATGTGGACTGTCATTCTTCGGCCATTTCAAAGAGCTGCTAAGGGCATGAGGCTCAGGAAACAGGACCAGAGCGTTGGCAGCGTTTTTGGGACTGAAGTAAAGGCTGGATGAGTTGGCGGGGTCGGATCCGAGGGAAAGCTGGCGTGGACTGGGGCAAAGGAT